TGTATGTGTTCGTGGTGTGGTGTGTGTGTTGGGGGGGGGGGCGCTTGATATTATTCATACCATTATTCTAGAATGATAATCAGAAAAAAATAGGCACGTTATCTGGTCCCACCGCTGGACACGTCACATACACAAGTACAACAATGTAGAAATACGGCACAGAAATAAAGCTAAAGATTATATGAGTTTACCCTAAAAAATGAGTTTTCTTTGAATAGCAAGCCTTTTCATGAAAGAAAATGGTGGTAGTAAACTTTTATATATGTAAAAAATCTTTATTTTGACGGTCAGTAGACCGAAAAGAACAGCATTACTGGAAAATTATTCAATAGCAAGTAATTTTCGTAAACATGTGTGAATGTTTATTTTAAGCCTATACTCATGTGATGATAAAAATTATTTTTATTATCATTACTTTTATAATCATTAATATCATTATTTTATTGAAACATTTCCAAACTTGTCTCAAAGCGTTTTAAACAGGGGAGCGCTTGGGCAAGAATTCTTGCCGATAGGCCAAGCGCTGTACCGTTCCCTGCTTAAAACGCTTTCCAAGGCAGGCAGGCTCTGTTCAGTGATGCCAGACACGTAGAAGTGTCTTTTTATAAAGTACAAATCATAACTGTCCTTGATGAGCATAGAAATATCAAAATAACCTAAAATATACATACTTGGGTTTTAAAAGCAATATTCCCAACAATCTCGGAAAGAGATAACTTATGCACAAGTCAAGGGTGGAGTTTATTTCACCTGCGGTTGGTAACAGTTTTGAGCGCGCAATTCAATACAACTGACAAGCTAGTAAATCTACCCAAACATCTTAACAAAGCGCAATATTTTCTCCTGTATTCATATAAAGTGCCTCTAAAACAATGACACCCCCCCGATTGACAGCCCTTTCATTCTGACGTTATCAAAACAAATGAATATCCTTGAATTAAAATATAGGCCTACCCATTCCCATATCGATTTTATGAGGTTAAATATAAAAAAAATCATCGAATATCAACAGAAGAATGTTGCTAGAACTTCTCAGACTTTTTTCACTTGAAATATTCTTTTTTTTTAATAGAATAGCAGATATATTCTCGATTTAGAGAGACGAGGAGTAACAGTACAATAAGAGGTAAATTGTTCGTCTTATAATAATAAGTAAAATACTTTTTATTCCCATAATCTCCTTTCGTTATCAGTTAATTTCAATTTCTTTGAATATGATTTTAAGAAAATTACAGAATCAGATACCGTGAAAAAATTATTTAGCTGATAAGATATTAAGCGGAGTTCCTGGCCAATGCCCGCATTCGAAGGATCGTGACCAGTATGGTACACGAACGACGCTGTTGCCATGGTGACGGTACACCGCTTGACTTAGCAAGCGCAAGTCTAGCCACCTACGGAGGTCGCTAGAGAAAGCAAGCAAAATGCTTGAGTTAGCAAGAAAAACGCTTGAGATTTCAGGCAAGAACTTTCCCTGCTTAAAAGGTCTGGTTTGTGCACTGTGGGGTTTTATCATTAGTATTATTCTTAACGACAGAATTTTTTTATCGTTATCATCACGAGTATCGTCATTATCATTGTTACTATCATTATTACTATTCTCATCCCTATTATCATTATTCATATATATATATATATATATATATATATATATATATATATATAATATATATGTGTGTGTGTGTGTGTGTGTGTGTGTGTGTGTGTGTGTGTGTGTGTGTGTGTGTGTGTGTGTGTGTGTGCGTGTGTGTGTGTGTGCATGGGTTTGTGTGTGTATAAACACACACACACACCTGTACATGCCTCTCATATATATATATATATATATATATATATATATAATATATATAATATATAGATAGATAGATAGATAGATAGATAGATAGATAGATAGATAGATAGATAGATAGGTAGATAGATAGATAGAAAGACAGATAGACAGATAGATAGATACAAATATAGATGTAGATATAGGCAGATAAATAGATATATGCAAATGTGTGTACATATATATATATATATATATATATATATATATATATATATAATATATATATATATATATATAATATATATATATATATATATATGTGTGTGTGTGTGTGTGTGTGTGTGTGTGTGTGTGTGTTGTGTGTGTGTGTGTTGTGTGTGTGTGACGCATGCATGTATGTTTATATATATATATATATATATATATATATATATATATATATATATATATGTATGTATATATATATATATATATATATATATATATATATATATATATATATATAATATTGTATATTAATTGCCCGTTCTTGAACACATACCGAGTCCCGTCATTTGCCAGGCAACCCCCCCGTCCCCCCCGGTCCCTCTGCTCCCCAGACCTTGCCCGAGACGAGGTTGTCGTCCTAAGCCCTTCGAGCTATTAAGCACCAGACGCCGACGTTCGCGCTCCCCTGCGTCAGGTGGTCTCCAGGTAATTGCCCTCGAAAAGCACTTTGAGAAATGTCAG